TTACGTCTGTGTTGGTGCTGAGCACCTTGACTGAACTTTACTGCAGTTACATTTTGCACCGCATTTGATGTTTCTTAAACTTTTTTAAATACCAGTGGCATTCACAACAGATTTGTAAAGAAAACGTCAAACTGCACTTACTTGCACATTAATTGCAGATAATCAGAACAGTACCTTAAAAAACAAACCATAAAATAAAATAGTTTACACACCTGGACAACGATGTTTGGTGAATTGTTGGGTCACTCCTCCTTTTTTGACTGGTAACGATGGTAACGACAGTCAAAGGTCATTTGATGACGACACACCTGACAAACGAGACTGTCATTATTTATAACGTAATTAAACGATTTTAAAACGTAATAATAGGTCTTAATATGTTGCTTGCACAAACGACCTGGGGTCGTTTTTAGGAGGAGGAGGACAGTCTCCTTAAATCACACTGTTTTACTCTGAATTTTGGGTGACGATGTTAGTTATATTATAATCCAATACAGTGTACAAAATAATCGTCACAAAATGGCAGATGCTGCATTTGTATGAAACGAGAGAGTGAGTCCGCGATACCAGGATGACATATAATTAAATAATTGCACATAATATTGAATCGAGTTTTAATATTTTATTAGCTAACCAAACGCAAAGCTTCCACTAAGAAAAACTGTTCCCAGCAAGAGTATAGCGCCGACTTCAGTTACCCGGATGAGCCTGTGTACTCAGCCTTTACCAGTTGTTATCGAGGGATAACAGACCTCGGAATGTCAAGACTGACCAATCAGAGTCAAGTATTCCATAGAGCCGTGTAATAATGGTTGTGAACAGTGGTGTACTGCACAGAACGAGATGGGGCCCCTCCCACCAGCAGTGATTTCATGTATGAAAATGTATTGTGCACATGCTGCAACATACTACTGAGTCCGTCTCCCCCATTCACATAACTGAATTATCAGTAATAAATGTGGTGAATTATCATTGCATTGATGCATTTGACATTATTATTGAATAACATTATATAGGCTATATAATGTGCGTATTTGATATCACTTTTTAGTCAGACTGAAATCCCTGCAGAAATAAGTACGGTATTTAGTTTATGAATGTGGAGGCAAAAGTGCCCCTGCTCTGATTTGATTGTTATTTTAGCAATAGCAGGAGGATCCTTCAACAACAATAATAAACAAACATCTGTTATAGGCCCCCGGTCTACATATTTATTTAAAAGTAAGCTCAATAAAATTAATGTAGGCTAATGGCCAGCACACATCTCAGTTCAAACACTGGCCTACATAAGCATCGCTAATTGTAGAAAATAATTTATACAAGCAAAAAAAACAAAAACAAACAAATTATTTCTGGTCCCTGGTCTCTTGCTCGGACGGATGCGCCCTGGCCTTCTGCTCCACCTTGGAGATCTTCGTACTCATCTACTCTACTGTGGAGGTCTTCTGCTCCACCATGGAGGACTTCAGTATCATCTGCACTGCTGTGGTGGTCGTCTGCTCCGCCGTGGGGATCTTTGGTGTCGTCTGTACGGCTGTGGAGGTCGTCTGCACCGCCATGGGGAGCTTCAGTGACGTCCACTCCGCTGTGGTGAATTCTGTGTGGCGTGAGGTCATGCCTTCGGGAAGGAGGGAGTACTGTCACCAGTTCACCAGCTCCTTTCACCATGTCTGTCACAAGACTAGTCATCTCAGCACAATACATTTCCCATCATTCCTTCTGGCTACCACCTGTGCACACTCCACTATCACCACACCTGTCTGCCATCAGCCTAATCAGTTCCTCTATATAAGCCAGCACCAAACACACATGGTTGTCTGGTCTTGTCATTCAGTACGGAACTACTTACCTGTGGATTACTGTGGAACTGTCCCAACCTTCATCTTCTTCTGTCATCTGTGTATCACCACTGCATCGACAGACACAGACCTTTCTCAACAGCACAGCAGTAATGACTTTGTCATTCTTTACTTCCAAGATCGATACTATTAGAGATACAATTATAACCATGCAGCCGTCAGCCACAGTATCGCATCAGATAGCGCACTATAGATCCCCTGAGGAACAATTCCACTCATTCTCTGCTATAGGACAGGAATAATTGTATAAACTTGTCAAATCATCAAAACCTACAACATGTAGGTTAGACCCAATTCCATCTAAGCTACTAAAAGAGGTGCTTCCAGAAGTCATAGATCCTCTTCTGAATATTATTAATTCATCAATGTCTTTAGGATATGTCCCCAAAAACCTTCAAATTGGCTGTTATTAAGTCTCTCATTAAAAAAACACAACTTGATCCTAGAGAATGTTAATTACAGACTGATCTCAAATCTCCCTTTTCTGTAAAAAATACTAGAAAAGGCAGTATCCTCTCAGCTATGTTCCTTCTTAGAGAGATATGGTATCTCTGAGGATTTCCAGTCAGGATTTAGACCGTATAATAGTACAGAGACTGCTCTCATCAAAGTTACAAATGACCTGCTCTTATCATCCGATCGTGGTTGTATTTCTCTATTAGTGCTACTGGATCTTAGTGCTGCGTTTTACACTATCGACCACAACATTCTTTTGAGTAGACTACAAAATTATGTTGGCATTAGTGGAATTGCATTGTCATGGCTCAAATCTTACAAAAATACTAGAAAAGGCAGTATCCTCTCAGCTATGTTCCTTCTTAGCGAGAAATGGTATCTGTGAGGATTTCCAGTCCGTATTTAGACCGTATCATTGTATTGAAACTGCTTTCATCGGAGTTACAAATGACCTGCTCTTATCATCAGATCGTGGTTTTATTTGTATATTAGTGCAATTGGATCTTAGTGCTGCGTTTGACACTATCGTAGACACTTGAGTAGACTACAAAATTATGTTGGCATTAGTGGAATTGCATTGTCATGGCTCAAATCTTACTTATCTGACCGTCATCAATTCGTAGCAATAAATGATGACATATCATATCGATCACAAGTACTGTACAGCATGGAGTGCCACAAGGCTCATTACTAGGACAATTGCTTTTTACACTTTACATGTTACCCTTGGGAGATATCATCAAGAAACATGATGTTAGCTTTCACTGTTATGCTGATGATACTCAGCTCTATATTTCTTCACGGCCCAATGAAACATACCAATTTGCAAAACTAACGGAATGCATAGTTGATATAAAAAACTGGATGACTAGTAATTTGCTACTGCTAAATTCTGAAAAAAATGAGCTTTTAATTATTGAACCAAAAACTTCTGCATGTATTAACCAAGAACACTGTCTAAAACTTGATGGCTGCTCTGTTAATCCCTCGTCATCAGTTAGGAACCTAAGTGTGCTATCTGATAGCAATCTTTCCTTTGAAAACCATGTTTTTAGCATTTTTCCATATTAAAATGTGTCTAAATTATGACCTATGCTCTCAATGTCAAATGGAGAAATGTTAATTCATACATTCATGACCTCAAGATTAGATTATTGTAATACTTCTTTGGGTTGTTGCCCTGCTCGCTTAAACTCCAGGTGATCCAAAATGCAGCAGCTAGAGTTCTTACTAGAACCAGGAAGTATGACGACATTAGCCCGGTTCTGTCAACTCTGCACTGGCTCCCTATTGTACATCAATTTTCAAATCTTGTTAATTACTTATAAAGCCCTAAATGGTTTAGCTCCTCAATACTTGAGCGAGCTCATATCACATTATAGTCCTTCACGTCCGCTGCGATCTCAAAACTCTGGCCATTTGATAATACCTAGAATATCAAAATGAACTGCAGTTGGCAGAACCTTTTCCTATTTAGTGCCCAAACTCTGGAATAATCTACCTAGTGTTGTCCGGGAGGCAGACACACTCTGTCAGTTTAAATCTAGATTAAAGACCCATCTTTTTAACTAGGAATACACATAATATTTTATCGCATTTCTATAATTCATCCATATAATAATCCATTAAAGGATTGTTAGGCTGCATTAATTAGGTCAACCGGCAGAACCTTTTCCTATTTAGTGCCCAAACTCTGGAATAATCTACCTAGTGTTGTCCGGGAGGCAGACACACTCTGTCAGTTTAAATCTAGATTAAAGACCCATCTTTTTAACTAGGAATACACATAATATATTATCGCATTTCTATAATTCAAATCCATTAAAGGATTGTTAGGCTGCATTAATTAGGTCAACCGGAACTGGGAACACTTCCCATAACACCCGATGTACTTGCTACATCATAAGAAGAATGGCATCTACGCCATGCCGAGTCTAATATTAGACTCTTTCATTCTTATTCCGAGGTCACCGTAGCCATACGGATCCAGTCCGTATCCAGATCAGATGGTGGATCAGCAGCTAGAGACGACCTCTACAGCCCTGAATGTTAGCTGAGACCATGTCAACTAGATGCGCCCCAGAGACAGATCCCCTGCGAAGCCCTCATTACCTCGACAACCATTGGCACAAGACCACAGGAACCAGACAAGTCCTCTGCACAATCTGACCTGTGTTGCAGCCTGGAATTAAACCACGCCATGCTGGTTTCATTTGGCCAGAGGAGAAATGGCCCCCCGACTGATCCTGGTTTCTCCCAAGGTTTTTTTCTCCATTGCTGTCACCGATGGAGTTTTGGTTCCTTGCCACTGTTGCCTTTGGCTTGCTTAGTTGGGGACGCGCGACTGATTGCACAGACACTATTGGAAGAGAGCTGAATTGGATAAAGACATCACTGAATCATTCAAACTATCACTGAATCAATCAAATTAGTTTCCTGTTTGACACTGTAAAGCTGCTTTGACACAAACTGTATTGTGTAAAGCGCTATATGAAGAAAGGTGATTTGACTTGATTAAAAAAAAAAAGTCAATTAATCTTCCATGAGTCACCTTTTTCAGCCCCTCTTTTGAATACTGCTCTTTTTCAAGCTCTCAGTACCAGACAAGTCCTCTGCACAATCTGACCTGTGTTGCAGCCTGGAATTAAACCACGCCATGCTGGTTTCATTTGGCCAGAGGAGAACTGGCCCCCCGACTGATCCTGGTTTCTCCCAAGGTTTTTTTCTCCATTTCTGTCACCGATGGAGTTTTGGTTCCTTGCCACTGTTGCCTTTGGCTTGCTTAGTTGGGGACGCGTGACTGATTGCACAGACACTATTGGAAGAGAGCTGAATTGGATAAAGACATCACTGAATCATTAAAACTATCACCGAATCAATCAAATTAGTTTCCTGTTTGACACTGTAAAGCTGCTTTGACACAAACTGTATTGTGTAAAGCGCTATATGAAGAAAGGTGATTTGACTTGATTAAAAAAAAAAAGTCAATTAATCTTCCATGAGTCACCTTTTTCAGCCCCTCTTTTGAATACTGCTCTTTTTCAAGCTCTCAGTGTTTTTGAAGTGGACTTAAATAAAGAGAAAATATTTATATTTAATATATTTATTACATTTTTATCCAAAGTGACTTACATTGCACTCAAGCTAAACACATTTTGTCAACTGATGCATTTCCTGATATTATTCCCAAACATTCTAAAACTCAAACATTATTGCCAAGAAGTGACATGCCAATTTAGTCAATTTCTGACTAATAATAATAAACATCACTTTGCACTCATGCACTATCATTTCTAATGCCATCAGATACTAATTTAAATAACTTCCCATATATATCTAATTTAGTTAATTACAAATACATGTTAGTTTTCATAATTGCAAATGTATTGTTGGAGTGGAGAGTGGGTTTAACAGGCATTGGTACGTGGAACAGATAGTCAGTCAGTGAAGTGAGGAACAGAAACTCATTTCAAACTGTGCTCTGTGAAATGGAGACCTAAAATAAATTAATTTTACTAGTTCAATTAAATGTATTTATACAAACTCTCAATAGCATCATGTTTTGAGTATTTTCTCCATTCATCTGGTATATTTCCCTGTCCCGCAAATGTTTTACTGTAGTATTTTTCCAGATCTTTCTGGAATCTGCACACAAACCACTTCCAGTAGGGCAGTTCAGAGAGATCAGGGGTGATGCTCCAGTCTGCATAAACTCCTCCTGCTCTTCTGTATTCTCTCCAGGGGACTTTATCTTTTGAGTCAATGGGATAAAAATGTAAATTGTTCTTTGCTACTGCTGATGTGCAGATGTGGACAGACAGGTTATTTGTATTTGCGTAATGTATTCCGCTTAGTCCAATAACCTGATGAAAAGGAACACTGTGATCCTCATCATGATTTTCTATGGTGTTGGTGCAAATGGCTTTACAGAATGGACACTGAACCCAACAGCACTGACACAAGTGATCAATCAGAAGCTCATCTGGTCTGAACTTATAGTCTAGCTTTTCGGGAAAAGTATTTGTGTTGAATCTACTGCTGATGTCTGACATTATAGCAGGAAGTTCTTGTCTTATCACATCTTCTAGGAGGTTGAAATCATCAACATCATCATGTTTGACTCCACTTAGGTGTTTTTCAGAGAAGATCAGCTCATCTGAGAGCTGCTGTGTGAAATTCTTCAACCACAAACCAGCATCTCCACTGTTGACTTGAACATGTTCAGTAGATTCATGTGCTGCTTTCATAATCTTCTGCTGCAAGAGTTTAATGTTCTCCTTCATCTTGGGTAAAACATTGACACTGAACTTATCAGTGATGTACCGACTGACTTCATCTCTGATGAAACTCTGGAAGTGATCTCTGGGATTATCAATGTAGTTCATGCATTTGTCGAAATCCTCCTCTTCTGCCAGTGTCTTAAGGATGTGTTTCTCCAGATTTGATCTGTTTCCATTCAGTGATTCACAGTTTGATCTCATTTCATCTGTCAGATCTCTGGCAGTCTTCTTGTAAACACTCTGCTCAGAGGGCTCTTTCAGTTTCTGACAGATGATCTCACCAAAAATGGCAGCTGATGCAGCTCCATGACAGTATTTCTGGAAAATACTATAATACTCTTCTCTCTTCCTCTCCAAATAGAGAACAGGATCATTGGCATCCTTGAACATTCTGTGTTGGTCAGTGATTATCTTGTTTGCTCGCTTACAGATAGAAAGAACCAAATGCATGAAGAATTCATTCTTAAACACATATTTCACTGGTCCTTTCTGGTGTTCTGTTATTCTATTCTTGATGTAACCTGTGAGTTTTAGAATGCAGCTGATGTTGTAGCCCATCTTTGAAATGTTAAATGACTGAATCATTGTGTCTGTCTGCTGAGCAAAATCTGTGACAAATGATCTTATCTGGGCTTGATCCTCTGGAGACAAAGTTTGAGCATGTCCAAATTATGCTTTTACTGTTCGGCAAGAATCCTTTCTGTTATTCTATTCTTGATGTAACCTGTGAGTTTTAGAATGCAGCTGATGTTGTAGCCCATCTTTGAAATGTTAAATGACTGAATCATTGTGTCTGTCTGCTGAGCAACATCTGTGACAAATGATCTTATCTGGGCTTGATCCTCTGGAGACAAAGTTTGAGCATGTCCAAATGATGCTTTTACTGTTCGGCAAGAATCCTTTACAGTGTCACTAATCTCTTTTTTTGTCAACCTTTTTAAAATGACATTTTCATAATAACTTGACACATTGAAAATATTGTATTCACTGCCTTCTTTTCTCTGTTCTACAGGGAGACATCCCTGATGCATGTCACTGAGAAGCCTTTTTACATCTGTCATTATGTCAACGTCTTTCATTGGTTGAGTGTCTGTGATGATCTTCTTCACACTCTGTTCCCAAAACAAATCAAAGTCTTTTTTCAGTGTTTCTTCTTCATTTACTTTTTGTTTAAGTTTTAAGGCAAGTTTTTTGCTCTTTTCATAGAGAGTATTTTCATGATGTGTCCTCTGAGCATCAATCTTTTTCTTCAGGTCTCGCTGCTGAAGAATCTCACTTAATTTTCTCTTCGTTTCTCTCACAATGTTTTCCTGAACATCTTTGATTTTGATTTCAAATGATGTTTTCCAGTGAATTAGTATGTTGGCATCTGTGTCTTTCTCAAAGAATTCAGACATGGATTTTTCCACTTCTTCACTTGTCTCCAACAGCTCTCTTTGAAGATCAGTTTCCTCAACTTCATGAATTGCTTCATTTTCTATTTTGTTGTGTAGTTTGTTCTCAGATTCCATCATGGCACTGCGAAGACTCCAGGACCACTTGCTGTATTCAGTCTACCCAGACCACAGGAACATGAGCAGCGTCTCCATCCATCAGCTCCAGTGGAAATCCAGAGATCATCATCTCTGCTGCAAGACTCGGGAGAGAAGAGAAGTCTTTCAGGTCTTTCTTGTTCTTCTTCACTGATTCACATGATTCATAGATCTGACCGATCTCCCTCATGATGTGCTCCAAACCAAAGGCTGCATCTTGAAGTTCCTCAGATATTCCCTCAAGTTCAGTTTGTACAGTTGTCAGTTGCTCAGACTGATCATAATTCTCTTTCAATCTTACAACTGTTGACCACTTTTCATCATATTTGTTATGTATAGCAGACAAGTCAGCAGAGATATATTCATCCAAGAATATTTCAAGCCATTTCAGAAAATATGTATTTTTAGTCACAGCATTTGAGTAAATTTTGAATGGATCAGGAACAAGCAGAGGCAGAGCGTACTGACACTGGGACAGTTTAGTGACCATCAGCTGCTTCAGGAAACCATCAGCACAATGAAACACGGCCATCTGAACATCCATCGGATGGATTTGATCAGATTGACTTGTTCCATTGTTTGATAAAGATATAACTTTAAAAACATGATCAAATATAGTACCCTCATCTTCAGAGTTATTGTCTCTTTGTTTTGCTCGAACCTGTTCACTGGCCTTATTACCATGAATGTATCTTGCTCTGTAGTTCATCATCAGTAGTTTTTGTATGAAAGTCTGAATCAGCTCATCTTCAGCACAAGACTCATGGGACTGTAATGAATGTTTGGTTATCTGAAGGACATCTGCAGCTCTCAGTTTATTATGGTGGCTGCCTTCAAGATGAAGCCTGTGAAATAGAGAATTAATTTTTTTATTCTCTTCTTGTAGCCATTGATCTGGTCTGACTCCTGTTTCAAAGTCCTTGTTTTCTCCCTGTTAGATAAATAAACAAATTTTCCTTGATTAATAGTTTCAAAGAACTGAACAATACAATCATTCTAAACTGTTCATTCTTATATTACAAAAAGCTCATTGTAGCAAAACTCGATGTCAGTTTATTTATTCTGTACTCTTAAAGTTTTCCTTAATTACTTACACAGTAGAATCTGTTCTTTAAACCAAACATCGAATACTATAATGCAGTTTAATTGAAAGAAAACAAAACTATAAACACTAGTCCTGCCTTTCAGTTTCACAAGTTGCAAATCTGATTTTTTTTTTCTCAAAAATCCTTAAGCATTTCAGACCATATATTTATATAGAAAAAATAAAAAAATATATATAGAAATTAACGCAATATCCTCACACTAGTAAATAAAGCTGAGTGGAGTGGAGTTAGTGGACTGCCTTCTGTGAAATATGAAACTAACAGAAACGAATAATAATCACTGTATTACTTATCAAAATATTACATATTTTGTCTTATGGAAATGCACATCTGAAAGTAAAGTACTGACTTTTGTTTTACTAGGAAATACATTAAATGTTCTGATAGTGTGACTGCATTGGGACTCTACAGTCCTTGATTGTACATTGCATTTGCTCATTAAAATTTATCAATGTTCTTCCATATTATCTTACATATAAAGATCATTGTTACCCCAGGTTCCTCTCACTCTAACTACATGTTTTTTGTATAGAACTATGGTATTTGTTATGAAAAACAATAGCCTAAATACATTTACTATAAATACAAATGTAAAAAAGTCATAGCTTCATAACAAAAATTTTCTCACTCACTTTCACTCACAGGAGATCAGAGGAAGCAACAAAACCACATTAATTCAAAATGAGACAGGACAAAGAACTAAGGAAACTAAGGGCCTAAATAAACAGAGAGATAATTAACAGAAATGAAATGGATTGGAGCCTTTCTCATTCTGTCACTAGTGTGCAGAAAGTTTTATGACATTGTCAACCATCAAAGTTTTGGAAGAAAATTTCACTTTGCCTGGCTGGACAGTGTGTATATTTAGTACTTTTATTAAATGAACAAAGTTTTTTAAAAATGATTTTTTTTTCTTCTTCAGAAATTATGAATGAATGAATGAATGTTTGTGTGGTTTATTTTATTACTTTTTTGTGACTTGTGAACACAAGCCCTTGACAACTAAATTTAAATTGACAATTGAATTGACAGCTAGACTTGAAAGCTAAATAAATGTTTTAATGGATAAAGCTGTGTCTGTTTGCTGAATTGGTTAATGTCACTTAACAGAAGGTTACTAAACACTGTCACGGTCTGTGTCGGAGAGGAACGACGGAGACGTGGATAATCGAAACCAAAGACAAATCGTATCCAAAGACACAGGGTATATCCACACAGGGAACGGGAGAAGACACACAAACACAACATAGTAGACCAGACAAAGGAGGAATCCATGGCGGAACAGATGGTTTAGGCGACCGATGCGTAGGCGTGGATCCGGAAGGCCCCAGTGGAGCCGGAGTGACAGAGGACCAAGGAGGAGCCGAAGGGACGAGGGAGCCCGGCGGAACCAGTGGACTGATGGGCCATGGGAACAGGCAGCTTTCGCGAAAACCTTTTGGCATGCCCCCTACCTTTCGGCACGACCAATGAGAAACCTTTCAGCACGCCCATTACTCCAAGCTGCAGCTGCCCCTGAATACTGTGTGCTGTGGCCTGTAGCACGAAGTATAGCCAGTTTACCTGCCTTACCGAGCATTTCCATTGTTTTCTGCCTGCCTATTCTGTGTATGATTCTGCCTGATTACCTGCTTTACGTTTGTTGGATTACCCCTTTGCATCGATAGCCTGATTCGGACTGATGAATGTGTTTGGACCTTTTGTCTGCTTACTCATCTCTGCCTTTTGGATCACCCTTGTGTATGTTAATGGATTGGACTGCTGTTTTGGTATTGACTTTCTGCCTGGCCTAACATTTCTGTCACTTAAGTCTGCTGTTAATAAACTTCTGCAAATGGATTCTAACGCCGCCTCAGCCTCGTTGTTACAGAATACTTTGCCTCAACTGAATCCAGCGGAATTTTCAAAACTGCAAGCGGCTTTCGCCTATCAAAGTGAGGTATTAAAGGGATACCAAGATCAACTTGATAAACTCCAGTCTGTCAATGAGCACCTGACTCAATACATCCAGTCTCGTCCATCGCCCAAGCCAAAGACGGTAAGCTTTGCATTACCTGATAAATTTGATGGATCTGCGGAGCAATGTAGAGGCTTTGTTCATCAAGTAAAGATTTACTTTGATAACCAGGAAGACAAGTTTGAGTCAGATGAAAAGAAATGCGCTTTCATGATGACGTTATTATCTGGCAAGGTGATTGACTGGGCTGCGGCAGTTTGGGAAACGGATGTGCGATTTAGAAGATCTTTTGATTACTTCCTCCAACAACTGCGAGAAGTGTTTGAATATCCCGCTGGAGGCAAGGATATATCAACGCAGATTCTACAAATGTCACAAGGTAACCGTGCTGCTGCCGAATATGCCATCATGTTCAGAACGCTCGCTGCTCAGAGCGGATGGCATGATGGTTCACTGAAAGCCGTGTTCCAACAGAGCCTCAACACTGACCTGCAGGCAGAGCTGGCTTGTAAAGGGGAGAATTTATCGTTTTCTGACTTTGTGACTCTTACCATAAAAATTGACAACCTGATGAGACAAACCCTGAGACGAAAAAATGCGAGAGGATTTCAACACGTTTCGCTGGCCGTTACTCAAACTATGACAACATCAACCACCAAACCAAGTGATGAACCGATGCAACTAGGTCTTTCTAGATTATCTGAGGAGGAAAGGATGAGACGACGTCAACTATGCTTTTACTGCGGTGAAGCAGGCCATTGCAGTCAAGGGCGCCCACACAAGGCCCAAACAACCTCTCGGGTAAATATTGAACACTTTTCACTTCTAAGTAACAAGTCATTCAAGCTCCCTATTAAACTAAAGACTGAAGATATTTCTATTTCATTAACAGCGATGATCGATTCTGGAGCAGCTTTGAACCTCATTAACAAAGATCTCATCAAAAAAATATGACATTCCTACCCAACCATGCAACCCTCCCATCAAGATCAAATCTGTAGACGATACCTCAATTGGAGAGGGGATTACCCATCAGACCAAGCCATTAACACTCCAAGTTGGTTTGTTTCATCAAGAATTAATCTCATTGTATGTCATTGAGTCCCCTAAACATGAAGTGATCCTAGGATTTACATGGCTATCCATTCATGACCCCATCATTTCCTGGCATCAGGGTGAGCTGACCAAGTGGTCCACTTCCTGTGAGAATCATTGTTTTTCCCAAGTTCCCCAACCGTGTTTCACAACTAGCATAGAAAGCCCAGAAGTTAGCAAGACAGTCAACATTCCCAATTGTTATGACGATCTGGGAAAAGTCTTTAGTAAAACCAAGGCCACACAATTACCACCTCGTTGCCCTTGGGACTGTGCCATCGACTTACTTCCCAATGCAATGCCTCCAATAAGTAAGATCTACCCTCTGTCCAGAAAAGAAACCCAAGTCATGGAAGAATATATTGAAGTTAATATATTGGCCCTCCATGTCTCCAGCTGCAGCAGGCTTTTTCTTCGTTGAAAAAAAGATGGAGGGTTAAGGCCTTGTATTGATTATAGAGGACTTAACAATGTTACCGTGAAATTCCGCTACCCCCTTCCACTGGTTCCTTCAGCACTAGAACAGCTCCGTGAGGCTACCATTTACACCAAACTTGACCTACGGCGTGCATATAACCTGATCAGAATCAAAGAGGATGATGAATGGAAAACTGCCTTCCTCACCGCTAGGGGATATCAGGGAATATCAGGTTATGCCGTATGGGCTTGCCAATGCTCCAGCTGTTTTCCAGTCATTCATTAGAAGGCCAAATAAAGTGCTTCGCACTGAAACACAGCGTCTCCCTGACATGGCTGCATCAACACGACTGCTGTTCCTGAAACCACGCCTTCTTTCTTTGCATGCACATTTGGGCGGCATTATGCTAATATTTCCACATAGTGACGTAGATATGTGGGGGCGTGTTAGAACGAGCCATTTTAGGTAGGCGTGGTTGACTCTTAACTTTTATAAAGAATATCTTTGGATTTGAGACTTTAGTCTTTGCAACTTTACAGATCTTCTTTATGCACCAAGAGCTTGTAACACTCCAAAGAGAAAGGAAAACTTGAAATCGCATCATATGACCCCTTTAAAGTCTAAAGATGAACATATCAACCATGTCAAGACCGTCCTCTCTCGACTAATAGCAAACCAACTGTATATCAAGACAGAAAAATGTGAGTTTCATGTCAGTCAGACTTCATTCCTGCGTTACCATATCAGTCACCAAGGAGTAAAAATGGATGAATCCAAGGTCAAGGCAGTCACATAATGGCCACAACCATCCACCGTAAAAGAGCTTCAAAGGTTTCTGGGGTTTGCCAACTTCTGTAGACGCTTCATCAGAAATTACAGTATGATTGCTTCCCCTCTGACATCCCTCCTGAAAGGAAAGCCTTCGAAGTTGAAGTAGACTGAGGAAGCCAGCCAGGCATACAATATATTGAAGGAAAGGTTTACAACAGCCCCCATCCTGAAACGTCCTGACCCCAATCTTCCATTGTGGTGGAGGTAGACCCTTCAGACTGTGGAATCGGAGCTGTGCTCTCCCAACGCCATGGCCAACCCGGTAAACTGTATCCATGCGCATTCTTCTCAAGAAAGTTAACTGCAGCTGAAAGGAACTATGATGTTGGGAACAAAGAACTCTTGTCCATGAAAGCAGCCATCGAGCAATGGAGACACTGGTTAGAAAGAGTAGTCCACCCCTTTCAAAGTAATAACTGACCACAAAAATCTAGAATACATCAAGAGTGCCAAACGACTAAACCCACGCCAGGCTCGCTGGTCCCTTCTTTTCACCCAATTCCAGTTTACGGTGACATATCACCCAGGCAGTAAGAATAGTAAGGCAGATGCTCTATCCAGGCAGTATGATCTCCCCATTGAAAGCCTCACACCAGAATGCATACTCCCACCTTCTATTGTCATCGCTCCTATCACCTGGGACATAATGGAGGAAATACAAAGGGAACAACTACAAGAGCCAGCACCTGTCAACTGCCCACCAGACAAACAGTATGTTCCACAAAATGTACGTCACAGAGTAATGCAATGGGTCCACACTTCTGTCAGCTCTGGCCATCCAGGAATATCCCGCACTCTTCAATTACTGCAAAACTCATTCTGGTGGCCCTCGATGACCAAGGATCTCACTACTTATGTCAAAGCCTGTCAAGTCTGTGCCCAATCAAAGACCCCCAAGGAGTTACCTTCAGGTCTCCTCCAACCACTGCCCAT